ATTATTTATTAGATTATTAGTTTTAATATTAATTTAATAGATTTTTTAACTATATAAATTAATTAAGATTAATTTTTTCAAGAAAAATAAATAAAATATTAAAATTTTTAATTTTAATTTTGATTTTTAAAAAATTGGGTTGAATTGATCCAATTTGAGATTTATGTTAGTGAATCATGAATATATTATTTTAACTTAAAATTTAAAATGATCAAACTCAAAATGCGAGATGACTCAATTTAAACTCATTAAATTTAATTTGTTTGTTAAATCTAATTTTTATTATCTACCATAATAGTTAATAATGACAAGAAACTGCCATGTTGGCATTGAAATAGCAATGACGAGTGACGAAATTTTAATAAGCACATGACACCACTTTTGCGTTGACCAAAGATTTTCGCCAGCAGATTTGACATATAGCAGGACTGAGAGGACCAGACCAATTGTATTGGATACGGTACTACAACTTACAAAAAAGTCTTGAAAGATCAAAGCACATTATTGTAAAAAAAATTTCCAAAGAGAATCAGACGCATGGACCGAGTGGTATGAAAGCAGTGAAGATAAGGTATGAACCGGATGGTATGAAAGCATTCCTATAACATGTTGTCGTTATGGAAAATGGTAACCAGTTGTTGCAACTTGCATGCAAGACTTGATGGATCAGCGGTGACTTGAGAATTGAAATTTTACCACCAAAAAGAAACAAAGAAAGACAGAATGTTTCGTTGAATGTCCATATCAGTGCTACCATTATTCCAGTCTTTGTTTTCGGTTAAAAGGGTTTGGCTGGAACCATTGCGGTGCATTAATAGTGTTCGTTAAAATGTACATATCGGGAGTCCATTTTTTGGTGCAAAGGATATAGGCATCTCTTATTTGTGGAACAAGTGGGAGGATGTAATGCTCCTTTTTCACCATTTGTCTATTAGCTAGTTCCACTTCGTGTGTGTCCTAAGAGCTCTAAGCCAACGAGTATGCTTTCCTTCGGAGCAAACTACTATATCAACATCAAGCTTATCATCAAACTCCTAAGATTTTCAAGTGGGAGGTAATTTCAAAAACCATATCGGGGGGAACATGGAAGTCTTTTAGGTGTTTGACTAATGGTAAAGAGAAAAGCACAAGGGAGTAGAGATTAGAAAATACTTGTAAGTTGTAACTTAAAGTGTGAAATAAATTTAGTAAAATTTACAATACAAGCATACAAAATAATTGGCTATTGCAAAGTTCCGGTTACTACTCAAAAATAAGAGTTAGGAGTCAAAAGGGAATAGAGAACAGCACTTATTCCCATTGCTAGCAGTTCTCATTGTGAAAAGAGCTTTGCGCTGTAATGACAAGTTGCATCAATATAAGCTCTGGAGCAGTCTTTGTCATCTTGGAATATTGGTATATATGATGCGATAGTCTTCCATATATTCTCCATTTCATATGCAGATTTGACATATAGCAGGACTGATAGCACCAGAACAGTTGTATTAGATACGGTACTACTGCTTGCAAAAAGGTCTTGAAAGACCAAAGCACATTATTGGAGAAAAAAAATTCCAAAGAGCATCAGAGGCATGAATTGAATGGTGTGAAAGCAGTGAAGATGAGGTATGAACCGGATAGTATGAAAGCATTCCTATAATATGTTGTTATCTTGGATAATAGTAACCAGTTGTTGCAACTTGCAAGACTTGATGGATCAACGGTGACTTGAGAATTGAGATTTTACCCCCAAAAAGAAACAAAGAAAGACAGAATGTTTCGTTAAATGTCCATATCAGGAGTACCATTATTCCAGTCTTTGTTTTCCGTTCAAAGGGTTTGGCTGGAGCCATTACAGTGCATTAACAGTGTTCGTTAAAGTGTACATATCAGGAGTCCTTTTTTCGGTGCAAAGGATATAGGCATCTCTTATTTGTGGAACAAGTGGGAGGATGTAATGCTCCTTTTTCACCATTTGTCTATTAGCTAGTTCCACTTCGTGTGTCTCCTAAGAGCTCTAAGCCAACGAGCATGCTTTCTCTTTGGAACAAACTTCTATATCAACATTAAGCTTATCATCAAACTCACTAAGATTTTCAAGTGCAGAAATATGTTTAGTTCTTGTAGTTATAGAATAATTTAATTTTGTAAATATATATATGCAAAAACCCATCTTAAGCCCCCAAACTTTCCCTAAAATAACATTTAAACCATTGAACTAAAAATGAAGTAGATAAACCCTTTAACTCCATTAACAATGCAAATAAACTCCTCTCACAAACGGATCAAATGGTATTTCATGTTTAATACCACCTTGAAAGCATAAACACCCATGAATGAAAAGGGTTTATTTGCGGCAGTAGTAGAGTTGAAGAGTTTATCTACTTCATTTTTAATTTAAGAGCTTAAATATTTTTTTGGGATAAGTTTGGGAGTTTAAAAAGGATACTTAATATATATATTACAATTCCATAAAATTTTAACTATTTATTTTTTTATTTTTAATAATTAAAATTTATTTTAAAAAATAATAAATATGATAAAAAAATAAATAAATAATCAATCCCTACTCTATATTATAATATTTTACTAATGGAAGCATCTAAGCTAACCAATTTTACTGTAGTAGTTCTAAAAAAATTGTTAAAGAGCTACTAATCAAGGTACAACAAATAATCCAATTTAGAATTAATTGTTGGATGGAGAAGAATTTTAAGTCAGTGAATTTTTATCGAAGAGTAACGGCTTCAAATGACCTTCGACACACAAACAAATACAATAAAAATAATCAAAGAAAATGGAAATATATAATTCTTCAAAATTGAAATAAGAACAAAAAGAAATAATAATCTTGAAATTGTTGCAGGCTACTTACGGTAAATTTTAGGCTCTGTAGATGATGAAGGATCAGAGAAATTGAATGATTTGTGGATTTCCATTCCACCTGAAGTCGATTAATTGACATCGCCTAGGTCAAGGCTTGCATATGCATGCCCTGCCGCTGCTACAAGCGATACCAACCGAAGAAGAGCAATCGTCGCCAAATCTGGCGACACGAGCAGCATCGAACAGGCACGGAGGAAAGGTTTCGGCTGAAAGACAGTAAAGTTACCGAGATTAGCGATTGCCATCGCCGGAGAGATACCTTCATTTGTGATTATTTTGGGTGGCGCTTGCCGAAGGCGATGATGGTGAGAAAAAAGAAGAGCTGTCCTGAAAGCCCAATAATGGACCCGGATTATCCATTTATGTTGGGCCTCAAGCCCAAAAAATTTGATCCACTACCCTAACCCTGTATGTGGTTTTCCGGAATTCTTTGCTGTCTTTTTCTTAGTGTCGGATTCAAATTTGCTCTCTTGTAGGATAATATTAACAATGGCAAGCCGAGAACGAAGAGTGCCCTGAAGGAAGGAAAAAGTTTATTAATTGACGGGTTCAACTTGGACAGTAAACAATGTCCGGACTTTGTGAAACATGGTTGTCCCCAATGAGAGGTGCATGCTATGGTGCTTAACCTTCCTGCACTGCTTTGCATCTCATGATCGGTTAAACCAACTAGCTTTGTGGGAAATCTGTAAAAGTAGAAAAGCAGCAGCAGTTGTAAAGAGAATGAAGCTAAAGAAAGAACCGCCTAAGTTGAATCAAGGATTTTCTAAAATTAGTGAGGTTCAAACTATTGCTGACACACATACACAAACTTTGGTTGAGCCACGAGATACTCTACCAAATTGTTGCATTGGCCTGAATACCTCACATGCTAAAGTTCAACAGGGTACTAGGAAGTTCTTTAAGATAGTAGAGGTTCCTTCAGATCTTTAGTGGGCAGTGAACAAATAGAGGCAAGAGATGAGTGGGCAGCAAATGTTGGGCCATAACAGTAATACTAATTAAAGACCTTCTGCCAGTATCATTATTATTGACCACTGAACATTCATTTTATAAGTTTTATTACCAAAGAATAATGAAAATCAGTATAACCTAGCATTTAAAATGTTAGGAACCTTTATAGAATTATTTAAATATCTTTAATGAATCTTTTTATATGTTGATTTATTAACAATATTTAAATAATGTTATAAAGAGCCATAATATTTTAATTATCAAGACGTCTTAATTTTCAACAATATCTTAGTAGTATAGAGGAAACTAGAAATATGTGGAAGTAAACTTTAGCATTGGAAAGAGAGGAAATTACATGCATATAAATGTAAAGCTTAGCCTCTCATCAATATCATACGGATAAGTTGTTTGAAAGGCTTATTGATTACTAAACAAGAACATTGGATGTAGGCATCTTTTATTTTTGGAACAACTATATCAGGACGGAATGCTCCCATTTCATCACCAGGTCTGCTAGTTCCTCCTCTGGCGAGTCCTGAGAGTTCTTCGCTCATGATTTCTGCTTCTTTGATCTAGCTGAGGAAAAATCTTGAAAAGAACACTGTCAACATGTTTGTAATACCATATCCTCCATCTCTTCCTAAACATAAGTGGTAAAATGACAATGGCTAAGCCAAAAATAAATCCCACTTCAGCACTTATGAGATTCCAGTCAATCTTGGTTCCACTATCTAAATTGTTGCCTTTAGATGTTGGTGCGGTAGATGGTGGCTGCATATTAGCTCCACAATCTCTCAAAGGGGTCCCGCACAATCCCTTGTTATCTTTGAAAGAATCTTCTGAAAATGTTTGAAGTTGATTTCCTTTTGGGATTCTTCCTTCCAATTGATTGCGTGAGAGGTTGAGGACCTCAAGAAAATTCAGGCCTCCCAGCTGCTGAGGAATATTGCCTCTTAAACTGTTAGCAGACAGGTCCAAGGACTCGAGATGCTGCAAGTTTCCTAGAGATGGAGGGATTGGACCCATGAGAGAATTATGTGACAAATTGAGGACAATGAGTGCCCTGAATTCTCCCATCACTTCAGGTATCTTCCCTTCAAATTTGTTGCATGAAAAATCAATGGAGGTGAATATTGTTAGGATCTTCACTAATTCTATCTCTGAACCTTTATTGGTGACTATCACCATATCTTGATAATATAATGAATAAAGTGAAATATCAAATCTGAGGTAATCAAATGCTAGTTGAATTTTATCTTTGTTGACCATCATTGTTGTCCACGTTTCAAAGAATTTTGTTGGCAGTTTTCCACTAAACTTGTTAGAAGATAGATCAACAATCTGAAGCAATGGCCAGGTGTCATTGCTCGTTGGACATTCAATGGACCCATAAAATTTGTTGGATCGCAAAACAAGAACCCGCAAACTGGATATAGTACTCAACCAACATGGGAAGCTATCATTGATCCCATTGTTCCCGACATCTAAAACTTCAAGCACTTTGCAGTTAGCCAGGGACTTGGGAATCTTTCCTTGCAGGTAATTTTCATTGAGATACAAAGTTTGTAGTCCACAGTTGACCGAAAATACGTCAGGAATGGTGCCAGTCAAGTTGTTTCTCCTTAAATTCAGGACGCCAAGTCCCTTACTGTGACTCATAGCAATCAAACACCGAGGCACAGTGCCACTTAAAGAATTCTGAGACAAATCAAGGACATTAAGTTGTTCTCCATTGCATATTGAATTAGGGATGACTCCACGAAAATAATTACCTGATATCGAGAAAAAGTAAGTGTTGAATAAGAAATGACCAATATCAGCAGGAAGAACAGAGCTGAATCGATTCTCTGAGTAATCCATGTATAGAGCTAGCGACAACACATTAGAGATATCCCCTTGAAGCTGGTTTGAATGGAGATCTAAGATCGTCAGAGAACTAAAATTACAAAAAGATCCATCAACTTTCGTTAAGGAGTTATTCGATAGATTGAGCCATCTCAAAGGTAGCTTAAATATCCAATTGGGTATTTCTCCTTGAATCTGATTGCTTGAAAGGTCTAAAACCAACATATTTGACTGATTTTTCAAGAAACTTGGAAATTTCCTCAGCTTGCAGGAGGCCAACCTTAATTCCAATAACTGAGGGAAACTAGTGAAATTAATATTACCGAATGAGGCATCTGTAAAGTGAGGCGGAAGTGGAGGGTGCAAAACCAAAATTACAGAGCTGCGCACCCTTAGCAGCAAATATATATAAGGTCATATAAAATGTAGAGTTACATAAAAGCCCTTAATATAAAACAAAATTACAAAATATGCCTATTTCCTACAGCATCATCCACCGACAAATGATTAAAAGAAAGATCAAGTGTAGAAATATTTTCGAGTTTCTGGATGATGCTGAGCTCTAAAGTGCCATTGAAGTTGTTGGAAGAAAGATCGACTTCCACAAGACCCTGAAGCTTGAAAAAAGAAATGGGTATTGAACCTTCTAACCTGTTACCTCTCAAATTAAGAAGGACCAGCTGAGAACAATACAAAACTGCAAAGTCACCAATTTGACCAGAAAACCAGTTGTTTGAAAGATCTATTGTCTGCAAAGATGGAAGAGAAAACAGAGACAAAGGGATAATTCCCTCTAGTGAATTATTTTGCAACCTAAGATTTGCAAGATTTGAAAGGTTTTCCCAATTGGTGGAACTTATCTGACCAGACAAATCATTATGAGATAGATCTAAATCATTCAAATTCTTCAACATACCGAAGGACGGAATGGACCCAGAAAACTGATTCTGACTCAAGTCCAAAACAACCAGGTTTGCAAGGCTTCCTGTCGAGTTTGGAATCGACCCTCTGAAATGGCACCGTGAAAGATCCATTGTTGACAACATCCTAAGGTTCCGAATGGAGTCTGGCATCATCCCAGAAAAGTTTGTTTCTCTCAGCAGCAGGGTCTGTAAAGACCCATTTTCAGGAAATTCAGGTAGAGACCCTTGAAGAAATGCATTGTAAGATATGTCAAGATTCTGTAGAGTTGGCAGCTGAAAAACTTTTGCTGGAAACTCTCCTCTGAAAAAGTTCTTAGCCAAATTAAGGCCCTGAAGATGATGAAGATTCAAGAGACTGCTTGAGTTATCAATCCTACCGGAAATCGACTCAAGGCCGAGGTCAACGTCAATAACGTGGCCACTATTGCTGCATTTGACGCCGGACCAAGAACAACAATCCGTTGATGAATTCCATGAAACAAGCTTGAATGAAGAAGCAGGGTCGAAAATGAGTGTTTGCTTAAATTTTAGCAGTGACAACTGCTGATCCTCAAGACATAGACTCCGAACAGAGCCTACGTTTAAGTGTAAGCACAAAGAGAAAGCTATGAGGATGAGGAATCGCTGGAGAGTAATTTCCATTTTTTGACGGATGTGAGATTGAGAGGCGCAGGCGCCTATTATAATGAGAGTGAAAACGGAGCTGCCATGAAAGTTCAAAGTCGTTTTTCTAGGAAAAAACAAAAAAGACAAAAAAAAAAAAAAAAAAAAAAAC